CACTGACAGAATGACCAACAGGAGTAGCACAGGCTTTATAATCCTTTATATAGGTTAGTCTTGAGTTTCAGTTCAGTTCACTTCAGAAATTTGTTCTAAATAGTTTACATGGCTCTTCTCTTATGGGCTTATAGAATACACTGTACTTAGGATAATGTTTGTTCACACTGTATGGCAATTCTCTTTCACTAAATCATAAAGTCAAAGACAGAGGTCATGTGCCTTTTTCTTTTGTCTGTAGTTCCACTATCAAGTATGGTACCTGGAAAATTGCACGGTCTGAATATATACCTGCTGAGTAAAGATTTGATGAAACTGCCATGTTCCAAGACATGTTCTAGGTACCCCAGGAGATACGGAGGTATACAAATTGATACATTGTAAAAACCTTTGTAAGTGCCACAGTGTACCCCCAGCCAACAACAATAAAGTAAAAACAAAACAAAACCCACCCCATAACTTAAGGAGTTTCTGGACTTGCAGGGGGAGGGTGTAGTGGGCAGGAGGACAATGGCATAATTAAGACAAAAGACACAAATTACCATAGCAAAAGAAGAGGAAGTTAGGTACTATAACAGAGTGACAAATGGGCTTCAAAGAAAGGGGCTAGCATAAGAGTGTTTAGTTAACCACAAAAGTTTCATGAAGAGTAGGAAACTTGAGAAAGGGCTTTACAAACAGGTGGGATTGATAGGCTAAAAAAATGTTCCAGGTTAAGGTAACAGAATGATAAAATGCTGTTTATGAAAAAGAAAAAAGACAGTTTGAAGAGTAGGTGTATAATTGTGCTGGATTGCTGGGTATGTTGGTGGGGTAGTAGAAGATAAGGTTCTAAAGTCACGTAGCAATGTATTAAGGAAACCATTTACTGTCAAACTATGTACATGGTGATTTGTGGGAAGCAGGGGGGCAGGAATGCTTTTTCAACTGTTTGTCTTAGAAACAAATTCATGACAGTCTTATGAAGAATGGAGGGAGAAAATGAGGGATACAGAAATTAAGTAATAAATAAAGACTTGAAATAGAGTAGAAATGCCATTTTAAAAACGAATGGATTAAGAAAATGTGGTATCTATACACAATGGAATTTTATGCAGCCATGAAGAAGAACGAAATGTTATCATTCGCTGGTAAATGGATGGAATTGGAGAACATCATTCTGAGTGAGGTTAGCCTAGCTCAAAAGACCAAAAATCGTATGTTCTCCCTCATATGTGGACATTAGATCAAGGGCAAACACAACAAGGGGATTGGACTATGAGCACATGATAAAAGCGAGAGCACACAAGGGAGGGGTGAGGATAGGTAAGACACCTAAAAAACTAGCTAGCATTTGTTGCCCTTAACGCAGAGAAACTAAAGCAGATACCTTAAAGCAACTGAGGCCAATAGGAAAAGGGACCAGGAACTAGAGAAAAGGTTAGATCAAAAAGAATTAACCTAGAAGGTAACACCCACACACAGGAAATCAATGTGAGTCAATGCCCTGTATAGCTATCCTTATCTCAACCAGCAAAACCCCTTGTTCCTTCCTATTATTGCTTATACTCTCTCTACAACAAAATTAGAGATAAGGGCAAAATAGTTTCTGCTGGGTATTGAGGGGGGGAGCGGGAGGGGGTGGAGTGGGTGGTAAAGGAGGGGGTGGGGGCAGGGGGGAGAAATGAACCAAGCCTTGTATGCACATATGAATAATAAAAGAAAAATGAAAAAAAAAAAAATAAAGGAAAAGTATTTCCAAAAAAAAAAAAAAATGAGATGATTATACAATATTCTACTTGCAGAACATAATAATTATAGTCATCATAATTAATGTTTATTGGATACTTAATGTGTACCTGTCAATATGCTAAATGTATTACATACATTCTCTCAGTTATTTCTCATACTGACTCTGCAGGTTTGATACTATGATTATTCTAATTTTACTGAGAAGAAAATTAAAAACCACAGAGTTTAGTAAGGTACTGAAGGACTCACAGTTATTAACTTAAGGAGCAAGAATTTAAATCCAGATCTAACTCTTAAACAGATATTTTTTCTCTCATGGCATGGTCTCCTTAGGAACATATTTAAAAGTAGGGAACAAGTGAGAAAGAGTCAATGTCTCCAAAACTTTGAGACAGGCTACATGGGGAAATACTGGTAAAGTTTGTAACAGTCATGAAATCTGGAGTAGAATCTTGTTTGAGTTGGTTAGATGCTGGGTTTTTTTGTTTGAGATATGTTTATTTTTATGATCAATTAATATATATTTACTAAAATTATTTAATTTAATAAATATTGAGCACTTAATTTGTGTTTTATGCAGTTCTTGACTCTTATATACAACAAGTAAATGAAACACACAAGAATCATTTCCTTATGAATTTTATGTTCTAGTAAGGAAAGATATATAAAACAAAGTAAATAAATAAAAAGAATATAGCATGTTGTTCATGGTGAATATACAATAAATAAAGAAGAGAGTTGGGTAGGTAGTACTGGCAAAGTTCAATTTTAAATAGGAAGAACAAGGAAAATCACATGAAAAGGTAACATTGGATCATGTGTGTGTAAAGAGTGAGTGTGGATGTGTAGGGAGAGGTGCATGGTGAGGTCAATTAAATTTTGCTCTCATCAAATTTTAAGTAAACAATGTAATATTAACTATTGTCATCAAGCTGTGTATTAAATACTCAGAACTTGCTTATTTTACAAATGAAAATTTATATACTTTGGTCAACATATTATATCCCTATTTTCCACTCTATCCCTAGCTCCTGGCAACCACCTTTCTACTTCCTGCTTCTATGAGTTTGACTTTTATAAATTCTAAATATATGATCGATTGTATTATGTGGTATTTGTCTTTCTGAGCCTGACTAATAAGTGAAATATCACCTAACATGATGTCCTCCATGTTTGTCTATGTTGTTCTGAATGACAGAATTTCCTTCTTTTTAAAGGCCGAATAGTATTCCTTTGGGTATATATACCAAGTTTTTCTTTATGTGTTCATCTGATTGTTGCTTAGCTTGATTCCATATCTTGTGTTTTGGGAATAATGCTGAAACGAATACAAAAGGCAGATGTCTTTTCAACAGACTGATTTCATTTCCTTTATGTACATAAACAGTGGGATTGCCAGGTCATAGAGTACTTGCATTTTTATTTTTTTTTTTTTTGAGGAACTAAGATGCTATTTGGTACAGTGGCTATACCAATTTACATTTCTACAAAAATGTAAAAGTATTCCCTTTTAGACACAGCCTCAGCAGCATTTGCAATCTTTCTTTATTATCAAAAGAAAGATTTTTTTTTCTTTTTAAAAATTTTATTAGCATATAATAGTTGTATAGGAGGATACATTGTGATATTTACATATGTGCTTGCAATATATATTAGATTTACCCCCTCTATAATTCTCCCTCCTCATCCCCTCCTTAGAATAATTTCAACAGGTTTCATTCTTTTATTTTCATATATGAATACAAAATAATATCTACCATATTCACCCACATTCACCTTTTCCTTATGCCCAAAAAACTAAAAATAGAACTACCATATGATCCAGTGATACCACTCCTGGGTATATATCCAAAGGAATGTGCTCCAGGATATGATAGAGCTTCTTGCACACCGATGTTTATTGAATCACTATTTATGATAATAGATATTCTTAATGGAGAGAGATGGTATTTAATAGTGGTTTTGATTTGCATTTCTCTTACTGATTAGTGATGTTGAACATCTTTTCATACACCTGTTGTTTGTCATCTAATTTTCTCTGTCACCTCAATGAAATTACTACCTTGGATAATATTTCAAAGATAAGAGGGGAATAATCTTTGACTGCAACAGCTCTTTCAATTATCAATGTTATCCTTGTGAGTTGTGCTTGTTTTATAACACCATATTTCTACATCTTCTTTATCTAAGAAATCTCAAGCGTTAAACCTTTTCATCCTGAATGCATAGTTTATGTTATCTATCAAGATTTTTAAAGAAAGTGAATACCATATACTTAAATAAAATATGCTATTTTACTTACCGAGCAATTTACTTATTATAACAATAACAATTCCTTTAGGAGCTGAATCATGTATACTTCAAACTACATGGATTTGATAATCCAAAGCAGGATGTTTCATAATTTCTGTTTCATTTTTGTTCTTCCCACATATCTTTAAAGTCTGTTAAGTCCTCCCACCTTTCAGCAGCCTTAAGGCAACTATCCAAGCCCCTAAACAAAAATTTGTTTACCTCAGGACAAGGGTCATTGACCCAGATGAGTCAACTTTCTGGGCATTTTGTTTCTCTTTTCTGGTGCTATGGTCTGCTGTCTTGGATAATTAAGAGGTGACTAAATGATCCATGTAAATGGAAGTATTTAAAGAGAGACTAGCTGCCCACTTATTTTTAAACATCTGGGAAGGATTTGGATAGATAAAATCAATGGCCCCCAAATCATGGTTCAAGGACAAATGCTGGGCTGACTATATCAAAATCATATGGGAAGGTTTAAAAAATTTAAATTCTGGGCCCTACCCCAAACATACTGAATCAGAATCTCTTCAGAAAACTAGTGCTTAAAAGACTTTCCGAGATGAGTCTGAAGATCTGTGAAGTTTGTGAACCACTGGTCTAGATAAGTTTCACAAATGTTAATATATAGAATGATCACCAGAAAGGAATTATTAAAATGCATATTCTGATTCTACAAGTCTAGTGCTGGTCTGAGAATCTTTTGAATTTCTCAAAAGTTTCCATATGATATTGGTTCATAGATTTGGAGAAACAAAGAGATAGATTTTATTTCTCAAGTTCCTTCTATCTATACTTTCTTGATTATAAAGTGCCTTGTAGAACCTGTAGTATATTATCCTTACTCACATCAAGACTTTCTATTCAAACTCATGTATTCTCTTATACATAGGACTTATCTTATTTTCAAAAATGTGCAAGATATCAGCTTGTTTTCTTTCACTTACAGTTTGTCTTTCTTTCTTACTTTTTAGCTTTCAACACTTATCTGAAAAGGTCTCAGAAAACTGATCCATCCAAGATAATTATCCCAGAAGAGTGGCAGACTCACTGTCTACTAAAGCAAACCTTTCTTTTATGTGAGGAAGAAGAAGAGGAAGAAAAAGAAAGGAGAAGAAGA